GAGCTGCAGGATAATGTTACATTCACTAAAAAAAAAAAAAGTACAGTCACGATGAAATATTAAAAAACAGACCTCACTGTGATCCGGCCTACAGTAAAACCAGCAAACGATTATTTGAAGAGGGAGACTACTCAAACAGAGACTTCACAGTGATCAGTCTAAATATAGACGCGAACGGAAGGAGAATCTGTGGACCGAACGAGAGACCAACACATTTAGTGTTAAAGTATTTGAAGTGATGAACGTTTGGAACAATGAAATGACACGGGACAAAGAACAGCAAACACAAAACATGAACGCGAGCTCAGTGGATGCACGGTGCGATGTGAGTGAGTGTGAGAGAGTGAGTGAGTGAGTGTGTGTGTGTGTGTGTGTGTGTGTGTGTGTGTGTGTGTGTGTGTGTGTGTGTGTGTGAGTTAGTGAGTGTGAGTGTGTGAGTGTGTGTGTTTGTGTTTGTATGAAGTCTCTCTCGCTCTGCGCTGTACGGAGGTGTTTGTTTGTTTGTGTTGGCGTGTCTCAGGTGTCTGGAGTGTCGCTCGCTGCGGTGCGTCTGGCAGGAGCGTCTGGCAGGTATAAACAGGTGTGAATGTGACGGTGTGGCCTGCAGGGGGCAGAGCAGGAGAGAATCTTCCCTTCAGTCGCTCGCATTATTCCTCCTGAGCAGCAGGACATGAAGATTCTCATCAAACCTACAGGTCTTAAATCAGGCAAAAGCTAAATATCTCTGTATGTTTGGTCAAAATCAGGACAGATGCACACAGCAGTTAGATTATAAATAATAATAAATAGTGTAGATAGGATAGATGCTATTTACACTAAATGCATTATTAAATGGATGCCACCTTATTGGAACAATAAGCCCTCCCTACACTTACCCTAACCCTACCCGATACTTTATTTTCAACTTTTCGATTATTTCCTTCATTTTTATTGAAAATAAATGCCTTTCCGATGTGATATGAGATTTGAAAAGGGATAAAAAAAAAAAAGGTCAGCAAAAGGCGGATTTGAACTCGGGTCGACTTCGTTAAATAGACAACAGCATGCTTTACCCTCTACACCACTGGAGGTGTTGATTGTCAATCATCTTTTGTAGAGTTGTCTAGCCCAATCACATGTTGGTGCTGTAAATAGCTTCTGCCAACAAGGTGGGCTGTTTGCACTAACTGTACATAGACACTCCGTAATAGGCAATCAAATAAACCACAAGAATGCAATGTATGGCACTTAGAGTAAATGTCTTCAAAGTGGAAATGGCTTATTAATGTAATAAATATTTTTGTTTTAATAATCTCAGCATATTATAGAAATTGTCTGTTTGGGAGGTTGATGCTGCATAAATTTCCCTGTGAAAGGACAAACAAAAGATATTACTACTACTACTACATTACTACTACTGAGAGAGAGACGTTTTCTACAGACATTAAATTGATTGGACAAACGAGTTTCCACACCAAATCAGGCAAAAATAAACATCTGTGCATTTGGACAAATTCAGGTCAAATCTGCTAAAAGATTCACCTTGTGTCTTTAAAAAACAATGATGAAATAAAACGATGGAATTAAGGTAACAAAATTATGCATAATTACATGCAAGTAACACTAAGTCAAACCCAAATCCTAAATCTACACTGATATAAATAATCCTGTGGTTTTTCTGTGGTACAGAAAAAAAAAAACACAATTTATACATGCAAAAGTTAGTTCAGGCAATAATAATAATTTAAAAAAAAAGTAAATTCTACACTCTAAAAACAAATGGTGCTATATAGCACTAAAAGCGGTTCTTTGGCTCGTAATCATAGGGGAACCACTTTTAGTGCTATTTAGCACCTATTTTTACAGGTGCTATATAGCACCTTTGTCAAATGGTGCCATGTAGAACCGAACCACTTTTAGTGCTATTTAGCACCTATTTTTACAGGTGCCATATAGCACTTTGTCAACAATGGAGCACCAATCATAACTCATCCATGGCTCCCAGCATGCATTGCGACATGAATAAATTATGCAGCTGCATTGTCTTAGAATTTTCTTTTATTCTTACTATTTGCTTTTAATTTTGTTGTGACTTTTTACTGCCCTGTTTTGCGATGTTCAAAAATCATATCAAAATTATCAGAATATTTTGTCAGCATTGCTGAGATTCACATGCTGATTCTTCATGTCTGTGAGTGACAGAACTGAAACCTCTTTACAACCCATAACTCTAAAAGTGGTTTATACAATTTTCTCACATTGTCACGTAGTATCGTAGAACTGCAATAATATAAAACTCATAAAAGAACTACAGTGCAAATGCAACCAGAGACTCAGACATATGAAAAGATTTTACTATAACTATAACTTTAACTATACAGGGGCTTACAGTTTTACGGTAGTGGTGCTATATAGCACCTCATCAACTCCAAAGAACCGCTGAAGAACCTTACA